AATCCCGAAGCGATCTACAGTAAGACGCGCGCCAGCGTCTGCATGACGAAATCAGAAATTCTCATTTTCGTCTTCGCGGTCGTTGACGACCTCACTCGTCGTCTTATTCTCACCATTTTCGATTCTACTAACCACAATTCTATCAGTACTAACATCGTTTTAGCTTCTAATCGATTTTCGGATCGTCATTAGCTTGGTAGTCGTTTTAGCACTTCTCTAGTCGCCACAGTAGGAAACTCACATCCTAGTCAAAAAGGCGACGCCTTTCGCAAATAACACTTTAGCTTTTCATTTTTATTCTTATAGAGTTTTCTTAAGAAATTTATTATTTCTTCACTTGTTCTAGTCCAGTTAAGTCTTTCCCTCATTACTAGTCGTCAAATCCGAAAATCATATTTTCTCATTTTGACGCTCGTTTTCGAAAATCTTACTTTATGCCGCACCAACATTTCGTTTCCTTGTACTAACACTTGTTCTATTTAGTTCAGTCAAGTCCTTCCTCTCCAGTTTCCTTTAGTTAACATTTCTAGTCAAATTCAAAAATCGTATTCTCCTACTCGGTTCTTGATAATACAATCCTTACATAATAGTACCCCTTCACTTCCCACTAATCTGATATCTTTCTCATCTCCTTTGCTCGTTCTATTTGCGCTCTCTATTGATTACTAACCTCATTTCATTAGTCCAGCAGTTATCATTACGTTTTAATTTTCAATCAATAAGTCAACTTTTCCTCACCCATTCATTAATCAATTTCCTTAGTCCATCCTAGCTACAGTCATCACGGGAACTCAGTAAGAGTTCACTTAGTACATTCCCTTATATTATAATACACTATGCTAGTGAATCTGGACCCTCAACCTAGTACATCATGCTTAAACAGCAGTGATAGTCCATGAGCCTATACTTGAGCAGAGGCAAGTCTTTAATCGCGGTAGTACAGGTACCATTTTCAGTGAATCATTCATTTATGAGATATAGTTCAATTTTGATTAGAATGTTTTAGTACAGCAGATCTTTGGCCACGGGCCTATCTTCTTGTGTTGCCGGAGGCTGGACCACGGTCCACCTTCACAATAGTTCAGTTTGTCGATTCGTTTTCAGTCCATCGATAGTTCATCTTTGAACTTACGACGTCACGACGATAGTTCATCACTCCTACAATGCCCCAATAGTTCATGATTCTCAAATTCAACATCAGTTCACCTACATCAACATGCGATAGTTCAATAGTTCACTCTTCTAATTCTCGCCGCCGTCATAAGTCGAGAGATTTACGACCGAAGATTACGACAACTATTAGCTGGTAGGTGGTAAACAGCTGGAGGGAAACTAATGTCGATTGTTTAGGTAATCTGGTTGACGGAATAGCTGTCGGTGTCTTACGACTTGATCTCTATGTCGATAAATTACGGCGAAGATTGTCTCAGGATTACCCCCTGAGTTTATTTCTTCTTTCTCACCGTTTCGAGTGCCTAATTCCTTGGTTCATTTCAGGTCTGTTCGTATCCGCCGATTCGAGTCTATGACGTTACCTTTACGTCGATACTTTACGACATCAGTTCTTCAGGATCATGATCCTGAGTTTATTTCTTTATTGTGTGTACTTCAGCGCTAATCCTCTGTTCGTTTAGGTCTCGTCATCTCAATCCATTCGTATGCCTACGACGTTGCCTCTACGACAGTCAATTACGCCACTTCTTCACTTCAGGATTCAACTCCTGAGTTTCTTTAATTTTTGTCGTTATTTTCGGTGCTTACTTTCGTTCCGTTCAGATGTGTCGTGCCTTTTGGACGGTGTATTTGGTCGGTTCGTTACGTCGGCTTTTTACGGCAGTGATCTCTTTAGTTCATTATTTCTTTGTTGTCACTAACCCATTAATTTCGTGTTTTATTTTAATTTGTTGTCGTATACTAACCCGTTTTATCTCAGGAAGTTTTATGTAATGTTTAGTACATTTATTTCTCTTGTGCGTAGTATTATTTTGTTG